GATACTACGTCCTGCAAAACCAGTCATTACACTATAAAGGAAAATCATTTTAATCTGCTCATTACACTATGTCCAATTCCAAATAACCTACATTAACTGACATTTTCATTTTTTTTACATTTTTTCATCTCCCCCATCATTTATCCTTTGTCTACAGAATGATTTGATGTTCACTGCGCTTTCTACCTATTGCATACGAGTTATAGACAGTGAGCAGGCTTTAGTTAATGAACTATTATTTTCAAGTTGCACAAGCACTGCTTTACTCTATCTTTTGAAATATTCAGTCCACTGCAATGCAGTGACCCTGCGTTTGAGCTTGATAAATGCTTCAGTTGAACCCTGAATGTTCACCCAAACGTCAGGCTGAAAGTTCTCCTTGCGCGTCTCTCTGCTTTTTTTTGCTCTGTTGTTTGTCTTTAGATCCTCAGAGCCTGCAGAGCGGAGCTATTTCAGTTACAAGATGCTATACCTGAGCTATAAAGAGGTTCAGTGGGGCACTTGATGCTTGAATTTTTTATTGGAAAAATTGTCCCCTACGCAGACCCCTTATATCAATTTTGATCTTCAAAAACCTGAAATCTCAAGACTGCTACCTCATTTCACAGGCTGCCCCTCAGTACCTGGGTGAACTCACTTTGATCACAGGGTGCTGACTCCCTATTAGTACCTAGAATTGGGAATGCTACAGCAGGGGAGAGCTTTTTCACAGTCGGTGTTTGGGACTTTGATTTTTAAGTCTAGGCAGAAAGACTACTTGTTTAGTCAAGCCTTTGGTCATTAGTTTTTCCTGATACATAAAAGGTGCAGATATGGGGTTCATGAACATAGAGAATCAAGGTAAACTGAGATAATTGTGCTGGTCATCCTGCTGTTCTCATGCTGTCATTCAGGTTTGTTGACAGTGGAGAGAGAGTGATGATATTTTAAAGAGCCCTTACATACATTAGTCTTTGGGTTTTAATGGTCAATCTGAATTTTATCTAATGATTAGGCTAACTTTGTGTCTTTATTCATTGTTCTTGCAACTCTTATCTCTCATAACTCTTGTGCTATTGTTGTAGTATTGCTTTGTTATCTGGTGTTGACCAGAGGTGAATGAAGTCCCCTGTTGAGTCTTGGTTCCTCTTAGGTTTCTTCCTCCTTGGCTTGCTCACTGGGGTCTTGGAATTTCTGTAAAGCTACTATAAAAATATAAAAAAAGCACTTTACAAATAAATTTAAAGTCAGTTGATTTGAACTGAATCTATGGTTCACTTTGACTATGTGGCCCAAACAGCAAACAAAAAAATCACATCTTCTATTTTAATGCCACAGTACTGAGTGATCAACCATGATGACAAAGCTATTTACAGAAATAAGACTGTAGAGTTAAGTTTTAACAATAACTCATTAAATGCTTCATGAGACGCAGAAGATCTTGTACATCCTACGCACTCATACACAATCAGGGGCACTGGTGACTGAAACCATCCATCATCTCATTTAAAACAGCACCTTAAAATCATATTTTGCCTAAAGGTGTGGAGTGAGAGCCACTTAGAAGCTTATTCCATTGAGAGAATATTTACTGCTGAGCTCATGGTTTGGTGTAATTTCAGTGAACTCAGCTGTCCTGAACTGACTGCAATGTACAATGCCATTAAAACACCAACCGTCTTGTCTCTTCCTTCGAGCAGTACAAAGCACACAGCTACTACATATTTCATGCATCTAGAGAGAAGTCAATGCACATCAATAACATCTTCAACTATTTTTACCATTTGCAACATCATTTCTCATCTCATCAGTTCTGTGCAGCTAAGTTTGTTATGCATTGCGTGTATTGTCTCGTTCTATATTTTAAAACCCCTACAGTATTGCTTGTTGTACTGCATTGCATGTTTATTTTAAATTGTTTTATTATACATGAGCCTCAGACTGTAGCACTGACTATTCTACAGGAGTTTTACTCTATCTTTGTATTTTAATTTGTACTGCTTGCCCACTTGAACGAACTTAGAAATGTTTTCTTCAAATTCTGCAGTTCAGCTATAAATCTTAATTCCAAAAAAGTTGGGACAGTATCTGAAATGCAAATAAATTCAGTAGTGATTAGAAAATCCTTTGAATGTAAATAAAAACAAAGACAATGTAGAGACAATGTTTTACGGTATCAGCTTCATTCGTTTTTTGTAAATATGTGCTCATTCTGAAAGTTGAGACAGGGCAATTTAAGACTAAGAATATTGTGAAATGTTCAAAAAACATCTTTAAAAGGTGATGCAATCATGCTTGGGGATAAAAGGCACATTGAAGTAAAGTCTAGTCTTTTATGAGCAGGGATGGGTCGAGGCCACTTTGCCAAAAACTTCTCAGCGAATAATCCATCAGTTTAAGAAACAACGTTCCTCAACAAGTGATTGCACACCTTTCGGTATTTCACCCTCTATGGTACATAATGTAATTAAAAGATTCAGGGAATCTGAAGAAATTTCTGTGCATGAAGGGAAACACCAAAAACCACAACTAAATGCCCATGACCTTCAACCCCTCTGAAGGCACCGTATTAAAAACCAGCATGCTTCTGTTATGGACACGGCAAATGGGCTCAGGAATACTTTGACAAACTGCTGTCAATAAACACCATTTGTCACTACATCCACAAATGCAATTTATATGCTGAACACAAATGCAAAGAATATACTAAACGTGGTGGAAGCCATATGTAAACAACATCCAGAAATACCACCGACTTCTCCGGTCTCAAACTAGTCTGAGATGGACTATGCACAGTGGAAACGTATTGTGGTCAGACGAGTCAACTGTTCAGACTGCTTATGGAATCAATGTACATTGTGCTCTCCAGACTAAAGAAGTAAAGGACCATCCAGATTGTTACAGCATGTAGTTCAAAAGCCAGGGTCTGTCATAGTATGGGGTTGTATTATTGGCCATGGCATCAGTACATATGTGAACACCATTAACAATGCAAGAAAAAATGAACACTTGCCTAACGGAAGAACAGCTAAAACAATCAGCTTTCAAAACTTGATCAGTCTGTGTCTTCAGTCGCCAAATGATTATTATGCGCTGTTATAAGGAAATGTGATGTAACAGTGATAAACATGCTCCTGTCTCAACTTTTTTGGAACATGGCGCCAGCATTTGGAATGACAATATATTTTTTTTTTTAAAAAATGGAGGTCATAAAGTAAAACAAATTGTGTTTTTTGTACTCTTTTTAATTTGATAGAAGTCAAACAGAATTGACCAATCCCTGCTTTCTGATTTAGGAACGTTTCACATACTGTCCCAACTTTTTTGGAATTGAGGTTTGTATATGGCTCGTTTCAAAGTTTGATGACCACTGTTACATGACCAAAATGAACACTTCACATGAGAGACATCACAGGTCCATCCAGAGTGTGTTCCATTCAAGAAAGAACAACCTCAGTAGTTTTTCTTTCAGTTACAAACCTCGCTAGATAGCAATTCACCCAAAAAAGGTACTTGGTTGGCATGATGCTGGAAATGTTCTTCAGTGTCATTGTCCATCTTACCTACATGCCTACTCTGAATCTCTTTAACAGGGCTGATGCAGCATGTTAGTTATGTTTGCTAGTCAGAAAATCACTGTACAGTAAGAAAGAACTTCATATAATCTAATGGCATTTCATAATCATTGACTATCTGACTATCGATCAAATATGTCAGAAAAACAATGTGATATGTAAACATACTAATCAATAAATGGAACAAGGGGGCATGTTTCAAGTGATTTGTACATCTTGGAGTTGTGGAACTGCGTTCTCTGGAGTGATGGAGCACCATCCATTACCTTTGGGATGAGTCGGAGTGGAGTTTACGATCCAGAACTGACCATCCAACATCAGTACCTGACCTGCTCTTGTGGCTGACTGCAACCAAATCCTCAGAGTAATGTTCCAACATCTAGTGTAAAGCCTTCTCAGAAGAGGCAGCAAAAGCACATTAATACCATTAACTGTGTATGTAAAGTACCGCACTAAAGTTTGTTGTAACTGATATTGTTTTCAGGTCAGCTTTGATTTCAAAGAGAAATGGAATTCACTCCCTGTAAGACACTATATGAAAATGAAACCTCTACTACAGGGAGACCACTAATTACATCTGCATCACTGCAATGGGCAATGCATACTCACCACACCCACACAGTTCATACCACAAACATGGCTGTAAGTGGTGAGCACCTCAATCGCCTCGGGATGACTTAGCATTAATGAGGAGGTATCCACTCCAATCACTGTTAATGACTGTGGATGGAAAGGGGAGACGTGCATGGCCAAGTGATGGGAGTCTTAGTCCTGCGAGCTGTGGAGGACAGCGGAGGTGGTGGCTGGCTGATTGATACCACGCATGACGCATAAAAGTGAATAAGGCCCACTCAACAGCACCTCGAGAATCACTCTAAACTCTGCAGCACACACTCAGACTGTCAAAAGACACACTCCTGATTCTGGGAGGCCCCCGTCTATGCAAAGGGCATGCTATTACCTAAGCAGTGACTGCAACACATATAACAAGTTATATTTTAGAGACCAAAGTTCGTGAAGCAAAGTCAGTTTTTCTCAAGCTACATAAAGTTATTTTAACACTCATGCCTCACCCCGTGCTAACCAGATATCAAATGTGGCACTAACAGACAGCAAAGTAGAAAATATACAGTAAATATAAGCTTAAGAAGTCCTTATAGCTAGCATTAGCAGCATTTAAAATCAAGGGTCCATTATATATTAGTCTACATTAACGTGCAACCTAAAGAGTCATTTGTACCGCATAACCATTAAAAATCTAATAACACGATACTAGTGTCAAAGTAGGACAATCTTGGAAATCACGCAGATCATACTGGAAGCTTTCCCTTTAATGGAGGAGAAATGTTTTAAAATAAGTCAAATGGCCTTGAATATACCTTAAAATGCAAAAGACAGTGGCATTTTCCACATGTAAAATTCCAAACCAGTCAGAGTCGAGTCCACTTAAAGCAACAAAGAGATTCCATCAGATCAGACATCATTTACTTACAGAAATTGGAAAAGAAATTACATTGCTTAACAACATTCATATTATTTATATATTTCACGCCTAAAAAGTGTGTATGAATTCATTTACATTCAAGGAAGATAAACAAAGCATATCGGAAAGTCAGCCTCGAAACACTATTACTATCATCAGATAATAAGCACATTTAATGCTATATTAGGTTTTAAATCATATGAAGTGCACTCATTTGGAACCGTTACGGGTTCAGTACTCAGGAGAGATGTCTGTGGCAGTTCTTGCTCTGCCTTTCCAGGACATTTTGGGAGTTTCTAGTGAAAAATTTATGACCACCCTTGTTAACATTTAGAGTGCATTTATAACAAGACAATACAACTACAGTAGCGCCTACAAAGAAATACATTATGAAAAAAGCACAAACAGAATTAGATGTTTTAACTGAAGCCTTTCTTGACATAGTTAAGCTTCTATGACCAAAGAGATAAAATTAAAATAGAGTCATATGGGAATTGTGTGAATTGTTGCCATACAAAGTCAAGGACACCTGTAAGAAAGAAAGATCTTCCATGGAGAAATGAGCTAAATAGACTGCTCAGTCCCAATGTCCCAGACAAAACCACAATTAATTTAACTAAGGTCAGCAATGCCTATGGTTGATACCTTGAGGATTTCTGCGCTTATTTACATTTTATGTAAATACCGGACTAAACACCGAACAGAACCTCTCTTTTTATTTCTGTACATCGAGTGCCACCCAGTGGACAATATAAAAACAGTGACTATTTCATAATAACATCTATCTTAATTACAACAATCATTAGGATGTGTATGCTACAAATGACAGTCAGTGTGAAAAGGTAGTGGATTTCTTTGCTCATAGACCACTTACCAATTTTATTTAACATACTAGATTTAATTTGGTATTATTATCATTATTATTTCCCCATTTAGTCAGAGCACAGTAGTAGAACTCTGACCCCTCTTGCCAAATGGGTTATGCACAAAGAAGGCTGTTTAATCTTGACTAACCTATAGAACTGATGGTCATGCCACAGATATCTACTATCTAAAACTTCAGACATATCTAATTTATTTGAGGCATTTAGGAAATACATTCTTATATTAAGTGAAAACTTAAGTCAAACATTATAGAGCTTCTGTTTACACAACAGCATCACTAAAATGAATAAAGTCAAAATCAAAGCAAGCATTAACATAATTCTAAAGCCACATTAATAAATAGATCACTTGAAAAAAAAACCTTTGTGTAGTGGAGACAACTCTCATTTATAGCATATACAGACAACAACGGTATATTCTAACAATTCAAGTATCACTTTAAAATGAAAGGTTTATCATTTTCATAGCAAATTTCCTCCTGCTGAGTCTCAAGGAGTTGTGAGTTGCTGTATATAATCTCACAATGCTACAATGAAAGTACACTGGTCAACCTCAACATGTGCAACAAGGGAGAGAGGGGAAAAACACTATATATTAACATTAGATGACTGGCAGAATTCCAACGACGCGACAAACATTTGGTTGAATGATTCTGAACTTTCTTTAAGGACACCATACCACTTAAAAAAGACCTAACATTGTGCCACAGTTGAATACACTTTTTATAAATATGCATTATTGTGATTACAGGGAAAAAAGTAAGTATTAGCAAGTACATGTACAATATGTGCAATACCTTCATTAGTGCAATTAACATTTACATTAACATCTGGGCAATGACAATTTTTTTGTTGATGTTTTGGCTCTGTACTCTGTTACACTGGATCCAACACTTTGGATTTGATGGTTACTCTAAAGTAAAAGTGTAGAATATTGGATTTAATTTAATTTAATAAGGGTATGTACATTTATACTGAGTGAATCATACAGAAAATCAGTCCCACTACCTCAACAGACCATACATAACTGGACAAATTAACATAATTAATTAATAAAATATTTTTTAATTATATTGTTGCATTTAAAAGGCTGTGAATAATTTGCATTCCAGGACTGTTGTAAAGGGGCATTACTACCTAAAAATAAATATGTTGTCATGTTCTGTTGTGCAGCACTGCAATCTTCAGTGATTTGGTATCCTTTCTGTGTTTTCATCCATCAGTGTTTTCTCACTGCAATACCCAGCATACACTACACTATGATACCCAGCATACACTACACAAACACTGTGAATCCCCCTAGAGCAATTAAGAAATCCACTACTGTGCCACTGATGTAGAGGCTAATAAATATAGACATATTTGGCTTCCTAGTAGTAAATGTTAGTTGTCTGCCTTCTGCATTAGCCAGCTAGTGGGAAATATTTTCAAACAGCCTGCCGCTACCCCCAAAAATTCCACACCAAAAAAGATTTTGTTTCCAAAGTACATCAGAACAGGACTTAGTCTTTAAACTTAAACATCTCCCTGCACTGTAAGTACAAAGGTATTAACAATGAAAATGCACAAAGGTACAACAGTGGTTTTAAGGTCCAACTGTGCACCTTAAATAAGATTTGTCCCGGGGAAAATTGCATATTTGTACCTTTTCATTACCTAATGCTTTAAAACAGAACAATAAAAATGCCTGACAAGAGAGGGTGTGTCGAGTCAATACAACTTAAAAATCTAAGTACAATGGATTATGGTACAACAAATGTTCCCTAAAAGTACTGAAGATGTACCCTTGAGGGTACCACCACAGTGACAGTTTAGTACCTTTTTTCTGAGAGTGCATAAAGACCGGCACTGCTGTAGGAGGTGAGTAGGCACGTTGACAACAGATAAAACGATGGTTAAATTCTTTTGACCAGTGTCTCTATTTAACTCATAGACACTGCTGGGTGCTGGGTATCTTCCCTGGTGATGCTCTGTCAGTCTCAAAGTGCAATTATTCCTGCTTGATGTGGATGCTTTAAGTAAGTGAAATGCGTTCGGTCAGTGCTGATCTGTTTTAACAATTTCCTGTCTCAATAACTCTGATACAGCTCAAGAAGGAGTTGATCATCAGTTGACAAGCTGGACCAGGTGTGTTGAGAAAAACTGAACCTATGCAGAAAAATGGGTCCCCAGGAGCAGGGTTAAGAAACACTAGAAAATTAGACACTAGATCTGCCCAGTCAAAAACATTCCACTCATTGCCTCTGAACACTTAGGTGACACAGTTGCTTTAGTGGCATGGGTTATTGTCTGGCTGCAAGGTGAAGTACCATTCTCTGAATTTTGAGGCATTTGGGTGCATCTGAACAGTTATGCTGCTTCTGTAAATTTCAGTACAGACCACTGAGCTGGCTGGCATGAGCAACGAATGCCAGTGCCACTACATACTTTTTAGCAAAATTTCGTGTTGTAAACCCTCATCCGTGGGTGCATCATGAAGTGTGCTCCTGATCTTTCCAACAGTTTTTCTTGACCTATCCTTCTGTCATTCTCTAGTGTTCTTTGGTCTGTCTTTAACAGTAAGAACAAGTTGGTGTACCAAACAGTTGCACCTAACATTTTCGCTACACCTCTAATTTATTTATCAAGATGCAAATGTCAATCTGAAACCAACTTTAGACTTTTTATTAGCTTTCTTGTGCAAATACTAATGCATGATCATGCTGGCAAGACACAAGGTACATGCCAACTATTACTTATAGTTCCTAAGATGAGCTGTGGTTTCCATATGGATACCCTTGAATTAATGTTGACACTCTGAACTTTAACCTTATAGCAACCGTGTCATTTAAGTAAGGTTGAATACAGAGCCGAAACTACAAAAATCATGTCGCTGTCCATTAATTTACAGATGGAACCGTAAACACACTCACCCACTCATACAAATAAACAGATCATTTCACCACCTACTGTTATGTTGCCTAATATCTGGGAACTGGACAACACTTGCATTATCATCATGTTAACCTGTAAAAAGGATTGGTGGACATGCAAGATGCTTTGAAGATTTAGTTCCTTTTCTGTTATACATTGATCCTTAAACTAGACATGTTCTAGGTAATAAGAGGAAAATTTCAGTCTTTCCTAAACAGTAGATTTAGCACACACATTACATGCACGCACGCACACAGATGCTCACCAGTCAGCCATTCTCTATCCACTCACCACCGAATATCATAAAGTGCACCAAATCTAATGTGTGCTATCACCTTATTTGATAGCTTGCCAAATAATTATGGCAAAAATGGTCACCACCAAGGAAAGCACCAGAGCCAGAATACACATCCTCTTGCGTGATTTTCTCTGTAGAGGACAAAGAGACAACACAATGAGCCCTCTTGAAGGACTTTTTGCTACAAAAAAGTGAGTTTAGAATAGCTGAGATTAGGTGCAATGTTTAAACAATGCTGTCATCATGGCTCTACCTGGTAGTATGCAGCACGCTGGAGTTGTTCAGCTCCACGCTCCACATGCACCTCAGCACTCTCCACATTTGCCTCTATGCTATCTGTGTGAGATGAACAGCAGACATTGATTTACACATTAATTAATAGAATTGCATATATTATTTTTGCAAATGATGAGAAAATAATTTTTAAATCTTTATGATGGGTAACTAGCAGTACATCAATGTGGATAAAATCACACAGGGGAAATAAGGACAAAAATGGGTTGAACAATGGGCATTAGTCAATCCAAAGTGAAACATCATGCCACTAGATCAAGGCGAAAGTGCTCCTCCACTTAGAGTACACATTAATGATTGATATACTCACCTATCATATCACCCTGGTCATGAATCATAACAGCCAAATCCTTAAAGATCTGGTTCACATCCATGATATCGGACTGCAATGAGAAGAAATTACATTAAGAAATTTCTCTTTGGATCCGCTGATAGAAAAATCTTTAAAAATATACATATATAATTAAAACAATTCCTGAGATGCAATGCAACTCACCTGTAAGTTTCTATGTACGTGCTAATAATGCTTCAGTTAAATAATGCTTAAAGTAAAATCTATCTTACTTGAGCACTAATATGCATAATCATTTATTGTTTAATTCAAAATTATACAAAAATAAAATACATTTGAGCCCTGATATAGCCCTTTAATAATTCGACTAATATGTCAAAATAGGTCAGAATGGAAAAAGTGTTTTCTAATACTGAAATCGGACTGAAGTAATCCAACCGAGCTTAATCTGAATTTAGGCTTTAATCCCAGGGGGGCCAAAGTGTTTGTGGTGAGCTGAAAAAGCCAAAAACAAAACTAATAACAAAACTAATACACTAATAAATAGGGTTGGTAGATTACAAATCAAGTTTAGAATGTATTTTTTATGCCTTAAAATAATAATAAAAAAACAGAACAGAATGACTAAGTTATAAAAAAAAGTTTGTGGTAAGGGGGTTGGGTTAGGGAAGTCATGGGCCAACTTCGGCCTGCAGATCACCCTTTGGGCAGCCCTGCTTTATCCAGCAGGAAAAGGCAGTGTAAAAATTTAACAATCCATTAGTTGGAGGAATGATCACCATGTAAAAATTCAATCATTTTCACAATCAGAATCTTTGTGTGCATTCTGGACACGTGTGTACATTTTGTTCAGATTACATGTAACGTACATGTAGATGGATATTTACCACTGAAATGCTAAGTTTTGTGTACATATCACCACACATCTCCTTTTTGTGTTTTACATAATTTGAAATGCCACATCATTTATGTCCATCTGATTTCATGACAAACAGACCAATAGAAATGGTCCAAAACAACTTCCAGTGAAACCTTGTTATATTAATTTACATTGAAAGTTAGGAATGTTAAAGAAAGTTCCTTCTTCTGTGAAGTTACGTTTTTGGAGATATGAGGTTGTTCCGACAGCAACGTTATACCTGCACAGTTCATTTAGATCTGCAATAGCAATAAATTCATTTGAACTGACAAAACACTCCACACACAAATTTAGCTGCTGAGCGACTTCAGCAATGGTGCTTTTCTGTGCAGCGTTACAACTCCCACTGTCAGCTGTTAGAGAAACCTCACCTCCAGCTGCCTGATGTTGGTTTCTCTCTCCTTGATCAGTTCCAGGTCATCTTCTGTGATGGGCTCCTCTTCTGCCAGACTTTGACTCTGCCTTGAGTCTTCATTTCTACAGACACACAGTAAACCTTTGCTGGTGCTATCCAAAGCTCTCATCCACCCGATCTAATAATGATTCCTTTGACTGTACTGTTTGCATTTTATTATGATCAGAGATGCTGAAGCCTATTTTAACACCTGCATACTGTATTCTTATTAATACAAACATTACTTAGCAAATTTCAAAGCAATGACAAAGTAATGTTTATTCAGTTCACTCTAATCAGAGTTAAAATATAAGTTCACTTACTTATCAAATGTCACAAGCTGTTCATCCTGATTGCCATCATCAACCTACAAAAATGGAAAAAAATCCAGATAATAATTGTATACTTTCTACAGAAAGTTTCAAACAGATTTTTTAAAGTTTGCTATTACTGTATCACTACTGTCACTAAGTGAAAAGGCAGATATTGTACCAGAAGGCGGGTGCCTGCCCTGGCCCTGGCCACTGACTCTCTCTCCCTCTCAGCTGCTCGACGCTGGACCACCTGGAAGTTGTTGAGTGCTGCTGAGAAGTCATTCATCAGCCGGTCCTTCTGGATCCTCTGCTGCCGCTGTGTGGATAGTCGACATGTGTTTAACTGCTCTTGGCTATAATTTGCCCCTTGGCCAACTAGAAAAATGAGCTTACCTGCTCCGATGGAGACTGAGGTGGAGGTAGAGATCCCAGTTCTTTCAAGTGCTTGTTGGTCTCTTTGGCTAACTGGTTTGTATAATGCTGCATCTGCTGACTGAGCACCACAAAGAGATACGAACACAAGACTGTTACAAATGCTAAAGGCAGACCTATAAAGGTAAGTTGAAGCTTAGAAACCTGTTCTATTAGCACAGTACTATGGTACAATGTTTGTGATGACAGAGGAAATCAATCCACAAAATGACTCACAAAAGACTGTGTCATTCGGCGTAATAGTCTCACGCAATTCAAATACTCAAAATTGAGGACTCCTTCCTTGACACACACACACACAACTCTTTATGCTCTTCAAATCATTTTCTAGAAATGAAGTATGCGTATGGAATATAAATTAGAGAATTATCACTAACACAGTTTTTCGTCTGAGTGCTTGTATCTCGTGGGAAAATTAACACCATTGTTCTTGTTTCATTCTTCCTTTGAAACAATAACTGGGACATGCTTTCACAAAATTATCTTGTGCAGGCTGTGTATTTCCAAGGGGACAGACTAAGGATTCTAAATGGCTTTAGATAAACTGGATGATGGATGAATGGGCTGGCAGTGAAGACAGGTTTGACTTACAGTCTGTCCTGAAGTTCAGGTGTGTCTGGTCTGCTGCCAAGCTGGAACAGCATGGTTTTGATTTGGCCAGCTGAGCACACAGAACAGGGAAAAAATCCAAAATATACGGAAAGCGTTTCAATCAAGACACCGTCTCACACTTACATTTTGTTAGTCCTGAAAACAGGTGAAAATGACTCCTTTAATTTATACCACTAATAACCTTCATCACTAATCCAAGTATAATTTATTCTCTGTATAATAAATCTGTTCCTCTGGATAGTTGCAGATACACAGTTATCTGCAAAAGTGCGAACACACCTCATTAAATTACATATTTTATTGACTTTCTAAGTGAAAATAAGTTGATACATCCTCTACAGAGAACAAATTTAAATACAGCATTTTCTACAAATATTAGAGCATGGTTTTAATTTACTTGCTGACTTTAACATATTGGAAAAAAAATAAAAATAAAAATAAAACATAACTCTCACAGGCCACATTTTATGCTGTGATTTTTCCCAACATATTTAATTAAAAAAATGAACACTAACTGTACATTAAAATGTGCAGAAGCGTGTTCTCTGTAGAGGAGGTGTCACTTAGAAAATCAACAAAACATGCAATCTGACCAGGGGTGTCCAAACTTTTGAATATGGATATATATAAAATGCCTTGATTTTTTTTTTTCATGCTGGACATTCTGCTAATATTTCATATCAAATGATATACTTTCTGAAATAACAACAAATTATCATTTTGAAATACCAGCAAGAAGCTGCCAATCCATGTTGAAGGGGCCACAGTGTTGTTATTTCAGACCTGCTACTGTTGGAGTACTAAAGACAGTTTCTTCCAAGAGCAGAGATTAATAACCAGGGAATTTAACCCTGATCCTGATTAAACAGTAATGCAGAGAATACTCGGTGTATTGTTTGGTTTTCTTTTCTGTGTTAGGAGTCCTAGTAGAGAAAAAGCTTTTAAAGGTGAGAGAGGTGGGATAACCATCTTGAATGATATGAAAAGTTGTACAAGGCCAATTTCCAGGACAGGGATTAAGCCTAATAATGGATATTGAATAATAATAATAATGAATATTTTTCTTTCTATGGAAATTTTCCCTTCAAATTACTGTGTAGTCTAGTCTAGGCTTAATCCCTGTCTGAGAAAACAGCCCATGATGTTTCTGTACTTGAAGGCATTCAGCAAGTTATTTGAATGTTTATGGAGAAACTGTTTGCTGTGGTATGAATGGCTCACTTACTGTTCTGGGTGATTTTCTGGATGTTGGAGCTGCATGTTTGAATGAGGTTGCTGAAGTCTCGTGGCTGGGAGCGGTAAGACATGATGATTCCTGTAGCAGCAGCACAGTGCAGCCCTGCGGAACAACAGCAGCATTAAAATCACGCAAGAACCACTCTGTTTACGTGGCCTGCTCTGCTACGACCACCACAAATGGTTCTAGCAGGGTTAAAACGCTCCACTGACCTTCAGTGTATACTCATATAGGAGTTTCTGCACCTGCGCCAGTCTGGTACGCCTGTTTTCTTCAGCAGGCCTGTGGCTGACAACCCACACTGGACTATTTGACGTAATTACATCCAATATTAATCTAACCTTAAAAAACTACAGCTTATCATGCTAGAAATATGGAATGTGTGGCATAACGTGGGTTATTCCTGCGTGAATCAAAACGACAGCCTCTGTGCAGTGGTTTTAAAATTGCTGTGCGCATTAAACGGGGTTAAAGCAGCCTAAGCTGCGCCTGTTCAGCCCAAATCGAGCTCATGTGCAGAGCGCAGAGGGTACTGATGTTTACATCCCGTTCACAGCATAGCGCCGGCTCACAGTGATTTCTAGACGCTCCTGACGAATAAAATGCAACAGACTGAGGAATATATACGTAAATCCGCAGCTTAAAATCGAGTAAGTGAGAATAAATGGCTTACTTTCTGTGGTGATGGAGCCGTATCGCTCTCCGCCGCTGAAGCTCCGCCCACTCGCTGCTGCTCACATTTAACACGGCGTGCTCCACAAATCAGGAGAATCGAGCAGCGCCCACTACCAGCAATGATTTCCTTACAGGAGCGGATGAAGGCGTTGTTTCACCGCGTTACGTCCTGAAAATATCTCAGACAAGAGTTCACGTGTATCGGTAGCAGACGTGTGGCTTAATCAATTATAAAGTCTTTATTTTCATCATGAGAAGGTAAAGAGAACCAGTCCACTAACCTACCTCAATAGCAGCTTGTGTACAGAAACACTAGGCATCGTGCCTGTCCCATGACTTTCACAGGACTCCAACAGGAATTGTCAAACACAGAGTTTCGCTCACATGACCCTCTCTAGGGCCAAAATAGGGGGGTGTAGGGAAAGTAGACCTGCTACATCTTTCAATGTAAAACTTTACATATTACAGAAAACCCTTTTTATTTTTCACTTTTTTAATTATTAATGATAAGTAATTGATAGGAAATAGTAAATTTCCTATCAATTCCTTGCTATTCACTCTCCATTCAATAAAGTCCACATATGGAAACCTAGCTGCAAAAACAGTCCATTTTGAATTCAGCATTTTTGTGCTTTTAATATATCTACCTATTCAGCGTATATTTTTTAGTCCCACCCGTTGATGTCGAAGTTATAAAGAGAGTTTCAGAACAGAGACCATATATACATATATATCGCTGTTGTCAGAAGAAAACCTCATATCTCCAATATCATAACTTTACAGGAGAAGGAAAAAAGCCTACCTCACTTTTAATGTAAGTCAATGGAACCAGAATTTTTTCCAAGTCATTTTGGGTCATTTCTTTTAGTCCATTCAACATGAAATTTACACACAGTGTAAAGGGTAACAGGCGTTGTGTGTACATATATAACCTTGTATCTCAATTTTCGTCATATATATATATATATATATATATATATATATATATATATACACATATATATATATATATATATATTATATATATATATATATATATATATATTACACAAGGTAACAACAATTAGTATTCTGAGGGAGCACTTTGAATATATAGCACACAGCGTTGGACATGTTCTATATGTTCTTCAGATACTACTGGAATTTGCTTTCTGTGATGGATTGTTTGACTGACAGTAAAGAAAGTTAAATAAATGCAATTCTGGAAAGCGTACCATTCAAAGATGCTGCACATGCACTGAATTTACAAACATTTTTAAAAAGGCAATTACGCTAATTGGTGCACTAAACTTTTACTATCAGCTTCTGAAAACAGCCTTTTTATTTGTTCACAGTCTGACATGCCAGACCAAACAAAACAACAACGCTGAACCATCTAACTGAAACACACTTCTGAAAATGAGAAGCCATCCACACTAATTGGTTTACACATGTTGCTTATTTTCGCAGACATTTTGTTCTGTAGGTATTTACCCAGCATGCTGAATGGCAAAGTAAACTAGTCCATTATCATATGGTCAAAAGATGAGACAGAATTTAAAAGCGCACTCATTCAACCAGCACAGAATACAGAGCCCTCATTACTTCAAGCACATCCTCAGACTTCTTGGTCAATGAACTTTAATGTACTGTAATTTTTTTAACTTCGCAAGTGGAGGAGCTCAGGAAGAAAACAGCACAATACGCTGACTGTATAGCTTAAATACTGTATGTGTTTTTTTCAGAAGAGTATTTTTGTTGATCTGGCAAGAGCAATCAATCTCTCAAAAGAAAATCATTAGCTTAATCGCACACACAGTGCATTAAAAGGACTGGGCAGTAAACTAGAGGTCAAAAAACTTTCAGTGCAGTCTAAATAACATATGCTCAGTGTAAAACAATGTGATCATGTTGACTAACTAGAATAGATTCATATCAGGTTTTATAACTCTGTCAGAAGGCCAAAGTGAAATTTTTTATTAGGTTACAGCCGTGTACTTGAGTCATGAACCTGGGTATTGATTTACAGTGAAGCTATTACATTATAGTATGTACAAGAAATGTTCTTATTTCTGTTCAAATTTCCACTAAGCAGCAATAAATAAGTATCAAATGAACAAATATAATTTCTGTTTTAAAGTTGCCCAACTGAAATCAGGATGTCAGATAACCAGGTAACACGGGTCAAAACTGAACCTACCACTAGACAATCTACATATAAGCTAACTAAGCCTAAAATTTACACATAATATCCTCATTCTTTAGTCACTGGCATCATCATTTTACCTTTATTTTTATGGCACATTTCACAACAATTAAAATGCAGCTTGTCCACACTGCTCAAAGGTAAATAAATCTGCTGTGAACAAACTGCATGAGTTTTTATGCCTAAGGTAACAAATTAAGCTCAGATAACACAAACACTTGTTTGTTTCCAAACATTAAATCAAACTGTGAAAAGTTTTGAGTCTTTGTTTTACAAGTCTGTGATCTTCAAATGGCCTACCATTGATGTAGATGAACAGAGATATATTCATTTTGTCATTTACATTTTTCTGTAATTAGTGCTCTTCAATATGTCTTACATATACAAAAAAGTAGTAGTTTGTAGCTTTTATGTAGTTCACAACAATCATGCAGACAACTTTTGCTGTTGCTAGAGTACTATTTTAATACAAATAGTGGCACTTCAAAATTTACATACTGTGCTCTGGTAAACTCTCCAAAACTCCAAAGGCTTATGTGCCACAACCGTCAACTTTGCATAGTTTTGACACATGACCTAACAAATATTCAGCAATGATAACAAACATGGGCAGTGAAGATCACTACTGCACTGTAAACACTTTCATGACTTTATGTAGGCTCTTCTCAAAACTGCTATGTCATTGATATTTTTCCTGCTTTTCCTGAAGAATCTAAGCTTTGCACAAAATGACCTCTAGCAATAATTTACTGCTAGTGAAAGCAACAGTGGAAGATAATAGAGAAGAACTAGTACTAAAGAAAATGAACTAGAACAAGACAGACAGACAACCTTAGGACATCATGTTAAGGCTTTAAACATGATAGCAACTAGTAGTGAACATATGTCTTACAATATTAAGAGAACAGCCTTCTGACTTCCTGCTTCATAAACTGACTGACTCAAGTGCAGTTTTGAGTCTGAATTGTAGAAGAACTCAACACACATTCTTTATCAATGAATACAATAAAGTGAGAGTAAAAGGGGTCCAATGTAAAAAACTTGCTTGGCATGAGTGAAACTTTCCACTGGATGTATTAAACAGAGGTTTCAGGAACCATTAAAGGACCAAACACCATACTGAAATTTAGAGGAGTCTCATTATGACTTAACTAAAACACTGCACAGCAAATGAACACAAAGTCTTTCAGAAAAAATCACTCCAAATCACTGCAGATAACTTCAATTAGCCAAAATACCTGAGTCAGGAGAGTTTGCACAGCTTCTCTGCTTATAAACAGAAATTTTTTTGTGGGTCACAGACACTGATGAACTCCACAAACAGACTCCTCATGTTTCAGACTGTTCAAACTCACTTCCAGTCTGCAATCTATGAGGGCTCAGGAGAACGTGGCATAAAACATCTTCATTCTCCCACTATGACATGAGTCTCCTGAAGTGTTTTCACAAATTAGTCCTCACTCACATCAGAGGAATACCATTCCATTCAGGAGAGTCAGGCACATCCAAAGCAGGCCAATGACATTCTATGAGGGCATCATAGAGTTCCTCACTGTCCTCCATGAACTGTCTGTTCACTGCCACCACATCCAGGTCCACAGTGGGTTCTGGAGAACAATCAGAGCTCATGAAAAAAATGTGGCAGAACTGGCAGAAAGCAATAATGGCAGGTTATAAGTGTCTTGGGAAAATGAGTAATTTGACAAAACTGTTAGAAAGCACTTACCTTCAAGTCTACCATCTTCATTTGTGTTTCCATAAGCCTAAAATGTTGGGAAACACCAAACATTTACATACAAACAATCACAGTCCCACAGTGTGTAATAATGTAACAATTGTACAATAATGTTGTAATTTTACTGAGTTCTTTATATACACCTGATGTTAGAAGGCAGAACATACCTGATAGTTATATGAACTGTAGCTGTATCCACCATAGCCACTTGTACTCTGGTCATATCCCCAGTGTGAGTAGTAGTTAGGGTTACAGTACTGCTGATAGTACTGGTTCATATCAGATGAGTTAGGTGGAAAGTACCTGTTGTCAAAGTGCCCACTTTTGTTTCTGTGACAAGAACATTGAGGCAACATTATGTGACAGTAAGTGCTTGTGCCCAGTTTACAAAAGCATTGACTCTGAAGCCAATGATATTTTGGCAATGCTCAGCAGATTCTAAACTTGTAAATCAATACAATGACCTGTAACAATGCCAGAAAACAAATGTTAGAGTTAATGTAGCTGCAATACTGCATATTGTTCTGTGATCAAGTTTTAATTTGAATGTATCTTAATAAGGGGTGGCCAAAGTTTGTGTCTTAGGGGACCAAAGTGCATTGTTTGTAGTGTATTTTATAACAGCATTATACTATATTTTACAACTAAATGCTTTCCTTTGTTAATAAAATACTAAAATACAACTTTACAGAGAGAAATAAGAATTTAATCATTTATATGTAGCATGAAAACACTCATTCTCTCTTTCGAAAAAAGGGGATTAGGGTTACTTTCGGTTGGGCCAAAGGTCTTGAAGGGCCATCTTTGGCCCACCAATGTTTAGTTTCATTGAATGTTTATCTTCTGCAAAGGCATTTTAGTGGACAAGTGAATATACAGCATGTGTGGTTAATTGCAAAGGAACTGCATGCAGAAGTCATCATCACTCTTCTCTAACAAGGTGATAAGCTTAGCAACATCATAGTTTTAACCACAAATTTTTAAATAAATCATTAAGAATATAAAGCATAAAATACCTAACCGCTGCCAAAGATGGGAGCAATGAACAATGCCTACCTGTTGTCTCCTTGCCTCCCATAAGCTGCTCTATTTAGCTTGAATCTTTTGGGCTGATAAGGAAAAAAAAACAATAGTCAGCATTTGCACATGGATTAATAAGAGATTCTAAAACAAAAGAAAAAGGTCTATGTCAGTGTTAGCCAAACTGGTCCTTAGGGCCCTTCAGACAGTCCACATTTTAACTCCAACACACAGGGATGAAGAAAACATGGACTATGTGGGGGGCCATCAGAACCAGGTTGGAAAATACTGGTCTACGGATTCCAGTAGCAAACGATGGGTGACAGGTCAGCAAAACCACATACCGGTGCAGCTCCTGGGACAAGTTTCCCATTGACTTTTCTGAGGCATCTCTCTGCTGTAGCTTCATCTGCCAGCTCCACAAAGCAATAACCAGCAGCACCCCTGCAATGCACCAAATAACATATAATACAGCTATATATACACTGTATGCAATCTGTCACCAGGAAAATGTATATGAATTACAATTTTTTAAGGAATCATTATGCTTTTCCATGGTCAGTAAAGTGTAGGTTGGAAACTTACAAATTTATTCTGTTGCGAATAATTCTTACACTGACCACCAGCTCTCCCATGGTGGCAAAAGCACGGGAGACAAATTTTTCATCCATGTAGGGCTGAAGCTTTAAAGAGAAAAAAAGAATACGAGTAAGAATTAGAATTAAAACACAGTAATGTTTTGGTGACTGACAAATTAAAAATAATTTCTGTCCAGGTAGCTGAGACCTGTCTTCTTATCTGTTGACAGGGGCGTAGCTCTTACAGGAATTGGGGAGATGGAGGGTCCTATGGGGACCTGGCCTAAAAAACTTTGTTAGAATTTTAAATTTGTTAAGCAGGACCACAAAGACTGAATTTGAACATCCAGGAATGTGTGAAGCAACCCTGTCTACTGTACCCAGACTAGACAGCAAAATCTGACTTCACTTTTGAAGAAATTCATGCCAGACGTCTTCAATCAAACGTCACAGACACAGTGATTGTTGACAACAAACCTTTACAGAAGCCAAAAGTGAAGCCCGTCCAGTGTTAGCTGACATGAGAAGTTCCTTCTATTTTCCTTCAATTTTACTTAGAAACTGGGCTTTTTTTAAAATACCCCCAATAACTAAGAGTGCTCTTCATTTAAGGCCGAAGTTAACTAACGCTAGCTAGCTAGCTAGCTTTGTTTTCTACCTGCTGTTGTATAAAGTTATCAGCTAGCTCGACAGCTAACTGCTGCACAGCCCAGCCTGCTGTACCTGCAGACCTGAACAAGAGAAGAAAACTCTGGAATCTTTAGTCAGTTAATATGCTTACTATCCTTCACACACAGCGCACTTACGTTCCCCATCCACAAGCAGCTCATGACCACCAGCAGCTCGTCTGTCTCTATCAAGTATTTTAAAAGATCTGACCACGCTTCTTCTCCACGAGTTCTTAGTTAACTTCACTCAGAGCGGTCACTAGCGCCATCTACCGGATTAGACGAGGAAAACAGAACGCCTCTGTTACAGGAAAATAAAAGATTTATGAATTTAATATATGATTTAACGATCATATATTGATGTTTTTGAAAAAGAAAATCGGTTTCTTATACACACACACACACACATACACACACACACACATATATAAGAAAGGGAAAAGTCAAAGGAAAATAAATTAAAAAGGCCAGTCCTGAAAACAAAAAAACACAGGTGTTTCTGTTCATCCTTCCCAGTCAATTCAGTCCACATATAGAAAATTAAAAACGTGACGTCATGAAAACCACTTTAACGGTTTCTTTTACACATATCTACCAAAAAATACACATATCTGCCTGTTCAGCATACAACAGTTTAGCCCAGTGCAGTCATGCTGAAGCTTTAAGAAGTGTGCCCCACCCATTTAATAATAATAATAATAATAATAATAATAATAACAATAATAATAATAACTCTTAATATTGCTATTATTGTTATTATTATACAAATTTCAAAAAGACTGATGGCAGCCTATCAGGACAGACATCATTTACATATAATCAGTTTAAACAGCACAATGACAAAAATCCTATTTTATTCTAATGGATAAAGAGAGGTGGGGAAAATTATTAAAAATGAATTATGACTGTGTGATTTATTTGGTACAAAAACTCACACAAACTTTATAAGTTGACCTCAGGGGAAAAAAATCAAGAAAAAATTTCTAAAATATTAAAAAAAAAAGATATTGGCTCTTTGTTTCTTCGGTTGGTCCCAAAGTTAGAGACATCAAGTTTACCCAGCGGCAACGCAATCATGACTGAACGACAAAACGCCACCAGATGGCGTAAACTGCTCATCATTTTACACAGAGAAACTTTTTCCCCACTTCTTAGCGTTCTTCTTCTTTCCTTCTTGTTATTTTCCTTCCCAAACATCACAGTCAAGTCGAATTAACGGCAGTTTTTTTTTAAAGTAAAACAGCGGGGGTCTTAATGATGTGAGGCTGATGTAGATCCAGAGTTAAATGAGGTAAGACACAGCATTCGAGTTTCTTACCTTTTATTTTAAGGCAAGCTAACACGCCTATTTCTTTAACTACATTAAGCTCAGGACAGTGTCTCCATTAAAGCATATTCAGAGGATATCATATAAGAATGAAGTTTAGCTTGGTGAGGCAGTGTCTGAAAACAGCCTTTTAGCTGTAGCTCCTGTAGCAGCCCTGAGCAAGTCTCTATCGTATCAGCTTCTCCTTCCCGCAGGCAGCTCGATGTGGAGTGAAGTCCCACAGTGAAAGGGGTTAATTGCTGCCGCCTACTCGCCTGATTTGAGCTACTTCACGCCTGTCGAGCCCCATCGCATCAAGCAGGCCACAGTCCAGCAGGAGTCACTCAGTGTCATTAACAGGCAACGCACACACACACACACACCCTAGACAACTGACACACAGCAAGTCTAATAAGATTATTATTCAATTCATGGATATTAGAATGTAAACCTATACCTTTGGAGTGCTGAAAAACAGAAAATAAGGAAAGTGCAATGCCGTACAGGAAGACCGCGATACCAGCAGAGTGTGACGTCTGTTCTGCAGCAGGGGTCAGTGTTGCTTTCTTTTTAAAGACCAAAGTAGTAACTGCGAAAAAAGTGATCCAACCATGAAGAAATTATAGATCAAAATGTACTTTAAGATCTATCTATCTGTATCTATCTATCTATCTATCTATATATATATATATATATATATATATATATATATATATATATATATATACACACACATTCCACCCCACAGGCTTGCAACCTGTGAGTACTCTGATCAACTCTGGTCTATGGTGTCCCTAGTGCTCTACAGATCACCATTAAATTCAATGCCTTGCATGTTATACAGTTCGGTCTGTAAGTAATTGATTTTCTGGTTCTGTATTCCAGCACCCTGTATCTGAGATGAGACAATGTGGTAAATGTGCGGAGTGTTGCCTTTAATTTCAGGGTCTTGAAATAAACACACTGGATGAAACATATCGCTGCTGTCGGGACAAAACCTCGTATCTCCAGTGTTATTATTTTTCATTTTTTGACCTAGTTTAAAAAAGGTATTTGACCTTTATGTTGGGTCAAAATTTCGTGGTGAACGGGCCACCAGAAATTGTCCAAAATAAAAAAATATATATTTGTCCATTTACTTCCATTAAAAGTTAAGAGCATTTTTCCTTGTCCTGTAAAGTTACCTTTTTGAAGATACAAGGTTTTGTCCCGACAGCAGCAATACAGAAATTACAACCCTTCTTATACATCGCCACCCTCCCACCTACACTCACTTCAGGGACCATAAGTAATTGGACAGTTGGTGTGCTGTGTGTTGGTGCATTATTAGTTTATCCACAAGAGAGCTAAGAAAAAAGTGTAGATTTGATACTAGATGTGGATTTTTCCTTATTGCTGTTGTCTCAAAAAATGAGGACCAATGAAGGGTCCATTTCAGTGAGATTAGCAATAGCAAAGAAGCTGGCAGTACAAAAGAGAGCACAGTAGTGGATAACAGTTGAATACATAAAGTAAACTGTTGAACAGATCAAGGACACTGTCCAGGATATACAGGACAGTGATGTCAGGTTAAGCCAGATCTGAAGTACACAGCGTTCTGACTTGACATTTTCCATTTAAAGGAAAATTTATCCCAGGAGTCGGCTTATTCTCCATCTGGGAAACAAACCATACATGCCCACAAGTTTTTTTTTTAATAATTTTTTTTTTTCTTGAAGTGAAGTGGAGGAAGTTTGCAGCAGTAACAGCCTTTAACTTCTCGGAAGACTTTACACTCGATGTTAGAACATTGTTGTGATTTGATTTAGCCACAAGAGCATTAGTGAGGTGGGAACCATCAATAGAACCACTCTTGTGATTGAATGCAATCGAATCAAAACAATGTTCTGACATCTACTGTAAAGTCTTCTTAGAAGAGTAGAATCTGAATCACTACCACCACTCCAACTCAGCCTAAAGGTATTTGATGAAGCTCCATGACTCCAGAGAATACAGTTCCACTGCTCCACAGCCCAATGCTAGGGGCCTTTATACCTCTCTAGTCAACACCTGGCATTGGGTATGGCACTTTGCTCTATGCTCCTGAGCCTCCCATTCTACTGGAAATGCTTTTCTATGGAAATTACACAAGCTGTTTGCGCACAATTGAACACCTGTGTAAGCAATGGGTGCACCCTCAATGTAGCTGAAGTCACTAATTAGAAGGAGTGTGTGGATACATATAGTGTACGTAAGATTCTATTCATTTGTCCAGTTATTTATGAGCCAGTGAAATGGGTGACTATTTATAAAAAGGGCTTTATTATTCACTCAGTATAAATGAAAATACCCTTTCATTAAAGCTGAGATTCAGAACGTTAACTTCATACTTATGGTTTTATTTCAAAGTCAGTGAAGTATAGCAGGCGTATAGAGCTAAAACTGTCCAATTATAGACTCCACTGTAGGTCCTTCGCTGTGCTGAAACAAATCACAGGTCCTTTTTGAAGAAAAGCTTGAGTTTTTATGACTGCCGTCCCCACTGGTATACTAGAATTTCATTTAAGTCATCATGCAGATGCTTAAGTCTAAATGTGATCTAATTGTTGTGAGAGCACCATGGACCTCAGTGCTTTTCTCTCTGATGCACTCTGCAAGGCCCCACAGCCCTCTGCTAGCCAGCCAGATTTATGTCACTGAGAGAAGAGAGAGAGGGAGAGAGAGAGAGAGAGTCTGCTTCTTTTTTGGGGAGGAATTGGGGGATTTCTTCTGCATGTTGTCTTACAAGCTGCTATGGCATGGTGTAGAAAGAGGCATTTTTTCGACCAATGTATTAATCCTTTTAGGCAATGTTCCCTATTCAGAAATGCAAATTGAATCAATCTGAGGCTGACTTTTAAGACTTTTCAAGTGGGATTTAATTAGAAGCCAGAGCCTGCAGTTTTTAATGAGAGAGGGGGTGGAGAGAGAACAGGGATGGGGAAGGGGGTGGGCACGGTTTTGATCTGGGGTCCTGCTGGAGAGGCACACCACACAAACACACACACACACACACACACACACAAAAAGGCACACACGCAAATTCACACACACACACACACACACACACACACACACACACACACACACACACACACACACATTAGACTTTCTTGTATAACTGTGCTTGTGAAGTCACTGACCTAAATGTTAACATAACTAATTCTGAATCTAAATCCAAACCTAACCCTATCGTAACCCCAAACCTGCACCAAAGTGTTACCAGTGTTGGGGATAATGCATTACAAAGTAACATAGCAAAAATATGTGCTTAACTGGTAACTGGTGTGACCCCATTGAGCTGCAATGACTTCAACCAAACCCTTCCTGTAACTGATCAGCCCTGCACATTGACTTGGAGGAATCGTGGCTCATTGCTTCTTACAGAAGTGCTTCAGCTGTGTTATGTTGGAGGGATTTCTTGCATGAACACCATGTCTTAGGTGCTGCTACAACATTTCTCTTGGTTTAAGGTCTGGACTGTCTTCTGCTTTGACCAAGCTTTGTAGACTAAATGGTGTTTTTAGCAGTGCTATCCTTCTGCAGGACCCACCTTCTGTTGTGGTTCAGTTTACAAATGGATGCCCTACTATTCTCCTGTAGAATTTCTCGATACAATCCAGAATTCATAGCTTCATCAAATGATGCCAAGCTGTCTTGATCTAATAGCCACAAAACTGCCCCAAACGATGATACTGCCACTACCGTGTCCACATAATATTATTTTAGTAATCTTCTGGCTCATCAAGTTGGTCTTTAGGAAACTTTAAGCATCCAGTAATGTTCTTCCTGGAGAGCACTGGCTTTCTCTATGCTATCATTCCATGGGTACTATTCTTGTTAAGTATTTGCCTGATAGTGGACTTC